AGCTTCTCAGCTCTTCCTTTCATCTTGAAATCACCACATCTGGGCTATATGCATATTTTCCTGCTATATATAGATCTCATTTAGCTTTATAAACCTAACATATTGGTGCCAGAAAACACAACCGTGAGCTATTCCTAAAAGAACACCCAGATGAACTGAGATCAACTTACAGAACATACATCTACAGAAAGGTAATAACAGAGATGACTATTGATTGTAATCATTTGTTGCAATCTTGTATCATAAGAAGGCATTGGCACAACTGAAACATGATGGAAGTGGAAAGGATACCATGCGATCCTACCTGTGGTACAGCCAGAACCATGCATGGACCAGCTTGTTCATGCCTTCATTGTGGTGGCGTCTCCCGAGCACCGCACGCCACCCAACGTCATTCGCGTGCAAGCCCAGAAGCACTCTCAAGCCATGTTTCAGTGAACTCAAATTAATGTATAAAGTTTTGAACATAATTTCTTTCAGTACGTGGTAACTTGATATGTTATCCTCCTATTTAATAACACCAAGAGTTCCCTGTTCAGCATTCTAACAATGGAAAACTGAGAATGGTGGAAACGGCTAGACAATTACCCGAGGAATAATCTCATAGCTCTGCCCCTCACAGTATGTCACATTGCCGGCATGGTTGATGATGACATGGCACGTCTCTCCCAGAGCGTTATGACCTACTGCCTGCTCTACCGAGACGATGGTGGTTGTGTAAGGTCCCTTGGGCTTGTAGGTGTTGAGAGGCGGCTCTTTGGTGCTCTCGGGGGTTGAGTGGCGCGATCCTGCAGGCTAGAAGAGGAACAACAGTTAGATGAATACACATATTTCATGTCACAACACATCAATACCATGCGTCAAAAGAAATCACAAAACACAAAGATGAGAAGAATGAGTGTTCATCAGGTCCGCCAAAGTAACTGCATCAAGGAATTATAATTGTTTGAATAGTTGGGTCAATGTTTTGGCTGTCAGGTTAAATCTCTCTTGTGTTTACTACATGAGGCAAATTAAGACACTTGAGTAAATGAACCATGCATTTCTCATCGTGAGAGCAAGAGCAAGTATCGCTTCTGATCCATAAAACATACGGTCTCTCGTTTTCTAATCATTATATAGCAGTCTATATCTATAAAGGATGTAAAATTTCAACCAAATTACAATCTCAACTCTACATATAAAGTGAAATCAAATCACGATATCTCACTGAATTCAACATTACATATGTTGTCCAACTCGAGTTGAAGACTTCAAGTAGTCACTGAATTCAAGAAAACATTTTACCTCTAGATGTAGGCCAAAGAACAATAAATGAGTGGAAAGTTCTAATCCAGGAAGCCATACCGGGGAAATTGTACGGCAATTGGAACTGATTTTTTGTAGAGGGGGAAAGAGAAGAGGAGCACTCATCTGCCTTGTTCCATTATGTTCGTCGAACCAACAGGAAATCTGTAGTACAAATCGTGAAACATCGAGTATCCTGCATACAGAACAAAACCAAGATCAATACATGCTTGTAAAATCGAGAACTACCATAGCACAAACATGAGATGCACATTTAGACCTACTGCTACACATGTTGAGTCTGATTTTTTATGTACCACAACACAAGATGAGTAGAGAGGGAGGAGGACGGACCTGAGTTGCCGGTGAAGTGATGAAGCTCGACGATGGCTGCACTTGCTCAACTTGTTCCCCAGAGCCACGACTCAAAATTGC